GCGCAGTCAGTTAATGCCATTAGGGTACTTTTAGTCACGAGAAGTAGACTGAAGCAAGTGCGATCACTCGCAACTTTGACAACGGAAAGTTTGATTGCGGAAATGCGGGTACGCACGCTTTCTCAGAAGTGTGGGACTCAGAGCGGCCGCAGCCGAAGCTATCAGTTGCGCCCTCTCATACCCACTAAAACCCCGGACTCAGAGATCCAGTTATCTGGCAGCCCCTGCTCATCGTGGGGCACTCCATCCCAGGTCTTCCTGACTATCTCGGGATCTATCGCTTTGCGGCGAGGATAAGTATAGATCGTCACACTCCCTAAATGGGGAAAAGGCAGTTCTACGACACTGTGTCGTAGATCAGACCCACACTTGCTCCACACATCGGCCGTGCAACAAAACAGACGGCGTCAATCCGAATCAGACCTTAGAGAAAACGGGGTCAAACGACTTGTAAACGCAGTCAACGTACCAAGTGGAATACCGGCTCCGAGAAAGGCTGCACGAAGGGCGAAAAGCGTCGCTGGTTGTTCGATGTTACGGGCGCAAAGTTCGCCAATGACGAGGGACAAATGCCACAAAGTCTTAAAAAGCGTCAAGAACTACGATGCTGTGTCGAATTAGCGCCTTCAATAAGAATTATTACTTCAAGTTGGCGAGGACGGGCTGAGGACTACACACCTTCACAATATCCCCCATATCCTTCATTATTCTTTCTGAACGCGTAGCGTCTTCAGAGTGATCACACACGCTGGTTTTTGATATTTTGCGTGGACTCTAGGTGCTAAATCGTTGCTCGTCTAGTTCAACACAAGGGTCAACTTGATTACTGACATCAGAGAAACCAGATACATACCTCCTTGCGGAACTCGATCCGCCTAGTCGTTGCTACGATTCTCGACTCATGAACGGTGGTGGTGATGGTTCAAGACAAACATTTTTTTTTTTGATCAAGGCCAACCTTGCTCTCGACCGTCATCATCTTAGCAACAACTTGTCATCAGGTTCGTTCTCGGAATCTGGGTTGACGTCATGGAATGCATGCCTCTTCGTCGGTAGGTTGGATGTCTCGACTGCCATGTGCAGTGGCTTTGTCGCAGGGAGCTTGGCTTTGGGGCATGATGACGAGGATGGCAGACATGCTTCAGCATTGCGGCCTTTCGGAGGATGTCACAACTTCGCGTTTGGAAAGCCACTTTCAGCGCACCAGAATGAAACACTAGGTTCAGGGAAAGGGTAGAATACGTCGGGTGAAAGGAAAAGCGCCACTACCGTCATGGGCGGGTACTGACTCAACCGCATTTTCTTCTTCCTCTTGTCCTTCAGCTCGTCCTCCCCATCCTTAGGCTCATTGAACAGGGTTGTTCATCGCATTCAGGTGGGACTGGAGGGCCGGCGTTCGGCTCTCTGCGGAAAGACGAGAGATAGGGCATTCGATGGGTCGTGGATGTAGCAATGGTGGTGCTCCTGGCGAAAGGCATCGTCGTCATGTTGAACCCTGCAGAACATGGAGGTCTGATTGAATCAACCCGGGCAAGTTATGAACGAATACGGAAACAGACGTCGTCACCTTGAAGAAAGCGGAGGAGGGTCCAGGATCGCTACCTTGTTAAGCAGTACCCCCCATTCCAAACATGATTCACCCATTTTGGACAAATGACGTGTTGATGTGCACGAGCGACGACAACCGTCG